GTGGCTGGAGGCATTGACCTGGGGGATAGAGACCCCTGGGGTTTTTATCAGGTGCTATGTTCAAGGTAAGCATTCTAGTTCTGAGCTCCAAGACACATCCTAAGATCCCTCTGCTACCGTATTTGTACTGCTAGTCTTGCCCCACTCTCTGTCTTTCGCTAGGTCACGAAGGGGAGTAATTCTGTTGTAACAGAGCATGTGAGACATGTGAGAGTGGATCTCTCTCCCTTATGCTCTTCGGTCATATGAGGATGCAGTGAGAAGGCCCTCACCAAATGTCTGTGCCTCTGTCTTGGAATTTCCAGCCTCCAACGGTGAGAGAATAGATTTCTGTTCCTTACAAATTACCAGGTCCCAGTTATCCTATTATACAAAGGTAAAATGCACTAAAACAATAAAGTAGGTCAATGAAGATGGTTAACACATATATTTTTAGTGAAAATAATTTGAGAAGAATGATGATTTATTATGAGGATTCTACAGTTTCAGTTTCACTGCATCTCTATGGAATATCCAGTATTTGGGATAGCTGTGCCTTCTTTCCAAGGCAATAGGGTATATCAGATAGGTTAGAATTGGCATCAGCAGACATGATTTATGGCTCTGCTCTGTCAGTTATTAACTAAGTGCCTTTGGGTTAAAGTTTTTCTTCATTTGACAATAAAAACTATCAATTAGTAAGTATCTATAAAATGGCAGAGACTTTATGAACGGTTCTCTAGGCCTTCTGTTACTTAATCATTACAGTTACTATGGTGTCATCACCCCTATTTTATCAAAGAGAAAATTGAGGCTAACTTTCTTCAGCTCAGACTTTTAGTGAAACACATTCAGAAGATGACTTCAGCTTTACTTACCTCTAAGGCCTGTAGAGTCAACCACTGTAAAATTCTGCTTCTCAAAAATGCCTGAAATGAGATCTTTGCCAAATACTGGTTTGATTTTAGAATTCACAATGTAGGATACACATGTCAGTTATCGGTGAGAGGGCAGGACAACAGACTCCCATTTTTCACTTTATAGGTGAAGGGAATTTAGAAGATGAAATAGTTATGCATTCTCACATTACAATTCCAGAAGCTTAATAGAATACAGTCTTTTAATTTGTCATGATTCTGTAGGTAAGTGCATTTGAGCTAGGTTCAGCTACACAGTTCTTCTGGACAGATTAATTAGAACAAGGCAGCTCTGCCTTTGGGGACTAGCAAGCCAATATCTGGGGATAGGGATGAGAACGTTATTATTTTAGGCATAGTCCTCCAAATTGGATCTTTTTTTTTGACAGGCAGAGTTAGACAGTGAGAGAGAGAGAGAGAGAGAGAGAGACAGAGAGAAAGGTCTTCCTTTTTCTGTTGGTTCACCCCCTAAGTGGCCGCTACAACCAGCATGTTGCAGCCTGTGCTGTGCTGATCCGAAGCCAGGAGCCAGGCGCCTCCTCCTGGTCTCCCATGTGGGTGCAAGGCCCAAGGACTTGGGCCATCCTCCACTGTACTCCCGGGCCACAGCAGAGAGCTGGACTGGAAGAGGAGCAACCCGGACAGAATCCGGTGCCACAGGCAGAGGATTAGCCTAGTGAGCCGCAGCACCAGCCCAAATTGGATCTTAACACTGTTTCTTATGGTGCCAAATTTCTCTCTCTCTCTCCTCTGTGTGTGTGTGTGTGGGGGGGGGGCAGATACATATATACTCAAGAATATGAGTAGCTAAAACTTATTCCCATTACTTATTCCCATTGTATCATATTTGGTTTGAGAGGGAAAGGGAGAAGGAGAGAGAGGAGAAAGAGGAGAAAGAGAAACAACAGCATATCAGATCTTTGAGATCACTTCCACCCCATTCTATTGGCCAAAGCAAGTTACAAAGCCAAGGCAGGTTCAAGAGCAAGACAAAAGATGGAATTTGAGAAGTCACAATAAACAGGGGCATACCTATGGGATGAGAAATTGTACCCATTTTTAAATCTGTAGATAAATTTTATTTATGAATATATCACTTTTTGAGGGTGGATTATGTTTTTTAAATCATTATGTTAGACTTTAAAAGACTTTGTTCAAATGTTAAACTTTCCTAAGTATGTCATTCTGACAGTCACAATGTGGTTTCATGAGATCAATGTGCATTGTAGGTGGTGATGTGGTGCTCAATTTCTATAGCTTCCTGTGATGCCAACTCAAGAATATAAAGGAAGCAGCATTTTAGATACTTCCCTGCAAAGGCTAATGTCCATATGGTCTTTTAAATCCTGCTCCACACAGGACACAAAGGAAATCACAACTGTTTTTTCCTTCTCAGTTTTCCATTGCCACATTTCAAAGCTTTGCTTCTTTTTACTTTTATCTGAGTTTTACACAGGATCAGTGGAGTTAGTTAGCTAGAGGGGTTTTCTGTTCTCTCCTGTCTTATATAAAGAAGCCTGGATACTTGTCTTAGGATCCTCTATTGACCAGAAAATAAATATATAAAAGAGACAGCATTTCCTTCATTGCTTTGTGTATGAATTCTCTGCTGACATGTACATCTCATCCTTTTATCTTCCCACGTTCTTACTTTCAAACTTACCTGTCGTGTTTCCTAACTTCATATCTAAACTTTCATGAATCACAAGGAATTCTTAGTTCTTCTAAAAGATAATCCTCCTGAGAATACGATTATTCCTAGACAGTTTATATAAACTTAGATCTAAACTGATTCATTAGGTCTTAGTTTTATCATTTCTTTCCTCATGAGTCCTTTGCCTCATTTTCTCCCTTCCTTTCAATTTCACTATAGACCTTTGTAACACAATTTATGCAATTAATGGTTTTCTCTATTGGTTTCTGTCATTTGTTTGTATTTATATAGTCCTGTAGTATTTTTAAAGATTAATAAATGTATTTGAAAGGCAGAGTTACAGAGATAGATGGAGAGACTGAGAGAGAGACAGACATATCTTCCATCTGCTGGTTCATTTCCCATGTGACTGCAATGGCCAGGGCAAGGCTCAGCTGAAGCCAGGAGCCAGGAGCTTAATTTGGGGTCCAAACACATGGGCCATCTTCTGCTGCTTTTCCTAGGCCATTAGCAGGAAGATGAATCAGAAGTGGAGCAGACAGGACAAAACCCATGCCCATTTGGGATGCTAGTATTGCAGATGGTGACTTAACCTGCTATGCCACAATGCTAGCCCCATAGAATTGTGAGTTAATGTGAATATTTTGTGCTTAAACTGAAAGGGGAGATTAGTGGAAAGAATTTTACATGTTGTATGCTATCAGTAAATATTATACATTATGATAAGTGCTTCAGTTACTGCTATTGCTATTGTTAATTTATTTCAAAGCAAATTTTATGGCTTTTATTTTCCTGAATGAATTTGCAACTTCAAATAATATAAGGAATCATATATACAATAGGAGAATGCATGCTAGAATTTGAATGCACTTTTTCTTTATAATTTTTTGACAACTGAAATTTACCATCAACATTATTTTTAGAAATGTCTCAGTGACTGAAAATTGTGCAAAATTAAAATCATTCCCTTAGGATTAAAGCCTTACCCTTTTCTGTGCTTGTTAGCAACTCAAGTGCTGAGTCCATAGTTAATTGCATTCTCATTATGTTTATTATTATATGTAATTTTCTTATAAATATATATATGTTATCTTTTCTTGCATTTTTCCTAGACATCAATGACTTTCCAAAGAACTTTTATGTCTTCACTTTAACTATTTAACATGTCATCTCAAATAAGTGTTTCATTTAATGAATTGTTAATATTTCTGAACCAAGCCTGCAGTCCTCTATATGGCTAAAACCTTATTAATAACTCATAACTCTTGCTCTTTCCAAAATACAATATCAACATCAGTATCTGTTCCCAAAGATACTTCATTCCACACACTCCCCCGTGTTTTCCCTACTCAGTGGACTTTTATTCTAGCAAACTAAGCATGTGCAAAAGGGTCTTTCTTTTTTTTCTCCCTCCCTCTCTCCCTCCCTCCCTTCCTCATCCCCTCTTCCTCAATCTCCTAGAACCAACACCCGTTTCCCCTTACACACACTGCTAACGAGGTCTATTGTGGGTTGAATTGTGCCCTGCTCTGCAAAAAGGAAGGTATGTTGGCACCTTAATATCCAGTATCCCCGAAATTTGGAGATAGGATATTTATAGAGGCAACAAAGTAAAAATAAAGTCATTAGGGCGGGCTCTAATTTAGTATGATTAATGTCCTTATAAAACAGTGAAATTTGGACACAGAGACACAGTGAATAGAAATGAAATGACCCGAAGACACACAGGCAGAAGATGTCACTAAAAAGCCTATGAGAAGGTCCTGGAACAAAGTCTTTCTTCATAGCCCTCACAACTGACAACACCTTCACTTCTGACATCCAGCCCCTAGAACTGTGAGAACATAAACGTTTGCCGCTTAAGCCGCCCAGCTGGTGACTATGCCAGGCCTAGCAAACAAAAGCAACAGCAGACAGAAACTGGGGAAAGGGAGACATTCACTTGTCAGAGAATTTCTTTGTATCTTGTCTGTATCTTGTCTCTTTACCTTCTGACAAAGGAACTTGGAGTTTTGCTTTCCAGAGTACAATCTTAATGGAGTAAACTTTCTAAGCCCGTTTTACTTTATATAACCATGATGTGGTGGCTAGAGACCTGCATTTGACTGACAAGAGCAGCTGAAAGCTGTCTAAAACAGAAGAAACGATTCACTCTCACCTGTAAGTAGACCTTGCTGTCTCCTGTCAGCATCAGCTGCCACTAATTAAAACAAGCAATTGGTTTTAGATTCTCTCACTTGTTGGGAGGGGTGGGGCATTGGTGAGAGAAAGGGCGTGGAGAGTGGGGTGTAAATAAGGCGGGCAGAAGCTCCTGAGAGGGTGGGGACAGAGCTTCACGGAAGACAAATATACGAACCTGGTTGGTACAACACAGCTTCCCCAGACCCACCCACCCACCCACCCTCCCTGGAGCTCTGTGCTTTTGCGGGGGGAGAGGGCGGCAGGAGGCTGTTGGCGGCTGGTGCTGAAGGGACAGTTCCAGCAGCCGCTGCTTTGACGTGGGGGAGAAACAAAACCTGCGGATGGAAACGGGAGCCGGGCGACTTCACCTTCAAGCCGGTGAGCGCTCCTGACCTCCGACCGGCCTCCGCTCCAGCTGCCGCCAGTCAATCTGCCCGCTCGCGGCAGGGTCGGACAGCGCCGGCTGGACCCGCCCCGAGCTCCATGGTTTGCCCAGCCCTGCGCGATGGTGACTCTGGGCGCGGAGGCTGGCGACGGGCGAGCCCACAGATCGCAGCATGAAGGCGGGCAGCGCGGCCGGCGGCCGGTGGGGGCTGTCTCCCCGACCCCAGCGCCCAGGGAAGACGCACAACCTCCGGAATCCGGGAAACGCCAACAAGTAGTTTCTCGTCGGAGACGGGCGGCTCAGCTGGGCGCCAAGACTCAGTCCAGCTGCCCCGAGCACCTCGTCCACTCGGAAACCAAAGCAGAACCACTTTTCTTTCGGTCTCGTTAAGGTATCTGGGGCTGGGGAAGGATTGGAGAAGGGGGTGGATTCCTGGGAAGGGCTGCTGACCCCGCAGGCGGGCACCCCCCGCCTTCCCGCAATGGGGACGTGCGGAGGAAGCCCTGAGACAGGTGGCGGAGCGGCTGGACTCGCGCACGCTGTAAGCCAGACCCCGGGCTGGGGACCCGGGCTGTGCGCCTCGCCCCCTCCTCGACAGCAGCCCCCTGGTCCCCTACTCCCAAGGCATTTGTTTTCCTGGAGTGGGGTGGGGGGATGGGTGGGATGCATCCATCACTTCTGTTCTCAAAGATGGATCCTAGTTAGTCCTTTCCATTCCCAAGTAATAATAACAATAACAACAGTCACGCGGAAAGGAAATGGGATGAGGAGATTAGTCAGAGGTTCCCTTGGTGAAAAGCCACAGCAGGGAAATGTGTTTTGCTGTGACTTTCTGCGTTCCGGGTCTCTGAGGGAGACTAGAGGTGAGCCCAGAAGGGGTTGCGTACAGGGCACTCCCTGGGTGCCAAGGAGTAGCCCGCGGGTCAGGGCACCCGAGGGTGAGGGGGCTCCCAACCTAACGCCACCAACTTGCTTAGGCGAAAACTCCCAGCCTGCAGGAGACAAGGGGTCTCCGAGAGCGGAAGAGAGGGGTCATCGAGGGAGGAAAGAGGATGGTCCAGGGGCTTCGTAGGGAGCGCGGAGAGGCGGGGGTGGGGGTTGGGGAAGGGGCTCAGAGAGGGAGGTTGCAGCCTGGAGGCCGCAGGTTAGACTTGAGAGGGGACTGAGGGGGCGAACGGATCAAGGGGGAGGGCTCAGAGCCTAGGGAGAAAGGTGTTATGGACGATCCAGCAAGACGTGCACGTCTGGAAACATGGAGAAGGTGTGGTGCCGGGAGCGGGGACAGGGCTGGACGTGGAGCTCCTCCTGGGGACGTCCTCTGGCCCCTGCCTGTCCGCCAACCCCTGCATCCTGGGACTCTGGGGGTGTGGGTGTGGGTGGGGTCACGGTGTGTCTCTGACGGCCGAAACCTTTAACTCGCCCTGTGTTCGCCTTCCCCCTCCTCCCACTCCTTTCCAGTCATGTCTGAGCCACAGAGATGGGCAAGATCGAGAACAACGAGAGGGTGATCCTCAATGTCGGGGGCACCCGGCACGAAACCTACCGTAGCACCCTCAAGACCCTGCCCGGGACGCGCCTGGCCCTGCTCGCAGCCTCCGAGCCCCAGGGCGACTGCCTGACCGCAGGGGGCGACAAACTACAGCCCTTGCCCCCTCCGCTCTCACCGCCGCCGCGACCACCTCCGCTGTCCCCCGGCCCCGGCGGCTGCCTGGAGGGCGGCGCGGGCAACTGCAGCTCCCGCGTGGGCGGCGGCGACCACCACCCCGGGGGCGGCCGCGAGTTCTTCTTCGACCGGCACCCGGGCGTCTTCGCCTATGTGCTCAACTACTACCGCACGGGCAAGCTGCACTGCCCCGCCGACGTGTGCGGGCCGCTCTTCGAGGAGGAGCTGGCCTTCTGGGGCATCGACGAGACCGACGTGGAGCCCTGCTGCTGGATGACCTACCGGCAGCACCGCGATGCCGAGGAGGCGCTCGACATCTTCGAGACCCCCGACCTCATCGGGGGAGACCCCGGCGACGACGAGGACCTGGCGGCCAAGAGGCTGGGCATCGAAGACGCGGCGGGGCTCGGGGGCGCCGACGGCAAGTCCGGCCGCTGGAGGAGGCTGCAGCCCCGCATGTGGGCTCTCTTCGAGGACCCCTACTCCTCCAGAGCCGCCAGGGTAAGGCCAGAATCTCCCCTTTCCCGCTGCCCCAACTTCTTCCAGCTCCCTCCCCAACTTTGTTCTTTCCCACCGCGGACCTGTGGGGTGGGGCTGGGAAGGCAGACTGGGAAGAGAGTCCAGGCTCCCTGCTGGCGAGGCTGGGGCCTCGTCTGTTGCGGGGGACACCCTGGGAACCTGGCCGCTAGCCTGCCACCCATCCCACCTCCCTCTCCTTTGCAGCTGGGATTTACCTAGGTCAAGTTGTGCGTCTGCCGGAACCTTTGTCCTAAAGCGGTTCTCACACTGCAGGTTTTCTCCTACTGCTTTGTTCCACCTTTTCCCTTTAGCTCCAGCGGTCCTACATTTTCAGTTTGGCCTGACGCTCTTTCTCATCTGACTGGCCCAGGGCAGAGGCTCCAGACAGGGGTCTAATCTGAGGACAGAGGAAGGGCAAACGAAGTATATGATTGTGGCTGGTGTGGAGGGAGGGTGTGCCAGGACGTCCATTTTGGGCCTCTTTCCAAGCAAGGAGAAAGAACAGCGCCCCGGGTTGCTTGTCTGAGTGGGTTGACCAGAGAGCCTCCTGCACACAAGTTTTGAGCCTGCTGCCTTTCTTCTTGGGTTGTATCCGTGTTCCTTACCGGTCAAATAGGAACCAATCACTTTGCTGATGGGAGTTCTCCAAATCTGAGCAATTTAGATAGTAGCAAACTAATACAAAGTTTTTATATTATGATCGCAACATGAATTTTTATTTTTGGTTTCTAGGTTAAGTGACACCTTCAGCTTAGTTCTTGACTCTCACAATTAATTCTTCAAAATCCCGTGAAGGGCTTAATAAAAACCACCACCAATAGTGTCTCCAGTTTAAAGGGGATAGAAGAAATACAAGTAACCAAAAATTATTCAGTATGCGGATGCTTTTTATTATATGTGAGAACAGAGTGCTGTATTTACTTAAATCTCTGCAATTACATAGATCTGGTTTCCTCCTATCACTCAGAAAATAAACCCCTGGGTAGAATGAGAATTCTCCCAGCTTTATTTTGGTCCCATTCTCATATTGTCCTCCTATGGATTTCAGAAGTCTCTGCATCTGAGATACCATAGAGCTGTGGATCTACTGACTTGTCAGATGTGTTTGATACCACTCCGGAGGTCTGCAGATGTGTATTGTTTGCAGTGTGAAATGGATACAAGACAGTTTACAGTATTGCTTTCTCTTGGATCTGGCATTTAAATGCATATATACATTTTATCGTGTCCACAGTCACACAGTTGAACATTGCAGTATTGAAGTTATTAATTCAATCTTTATTTTAGAACCATTCTTTAAATTCCACGACAACAGTTGGCATTCAGAAAAAAAAAAAAACCTGCGTATTTATTTATATTAAATCATAGGCTCATCATCATTACATCTATGTGTTTTGGTTTCCAGCTGAGTATCATGATGCTCTTTCCACTTGGTGGCTGAAAAGGTAATCTGAATTTGTTTTGGGGCTCATCATGAGATTATTTTTTTCTCCAGATCATGTACTATAAAAAATGACAGAATGTCTTTTTGTCTTATCTTTCCTTAGGAAAACATCAGACCCTTTTTTGTAAGCTAGATTGCATAGAAAAAACTTTTAAGTAGATGTGCAACTCTTATCATTACTTTGGAATTTGATTCTATTGATAATTAGTCAAAAGGATAGATCATTGACTTGAAAAGTTTTTATAAAGTCTCATTTATTATAACAATGCTGAAGGTTTGACCTGTATTGATTTTTAGGTGAGGAAAGGACAGATAGATTAGAGAGTAATACAAGGTCAGAGAGTAAGTAGAAACAGAATCAGCCAAGAATCAGACCTGAAAAATTTCTTTGAGTTCATCTACTGAAGATCTTTATTTTTTGGAAGAGAATGACTGCAGACATAAAGTGATGGCCAAGGTCATACATCAAGTTCATAGCAGAACCAAAATTCTGCTAGAGGTCTCCTGACACTGTCCCCATGCTCTTTTCACCAAAACCACTGATTGTAACTGACTGGGTTGTGCAATCTCTGCAGACTGTGTTGCTCTTGAGATTTAATGCAGCATTAAGATATTCACTAGAATTCTAATTTCAAAAGGTCATTTGTGACCTTTTAAAACTGTGTGCATTCTAAGAGTTTGGCTCATAGAAGTTTTACTCTGCACCATTCAACAATAGAATAAAAATAAGGGACTTGAATTAACTTCTTAAAAGGAACTCTGTTTTCAGGCTCCCTTTTTATCGACCAGTCAGTACCTAATGCTTTGCTTTCTTTTGTGGACCTTGTTTTCAAGGAAATCCCTTTACAAAGTACTAGGGATTGCCCAAGGAAGAGTAATTGAAAGTCATTGTTCTATTTAAAAGTGACTAAGTATTTTATATGAACACTTTTAGTTCTGATGATGGCCTGACTTAATGTTATCTATTTTGATAAATGGAATTATACTGGAAGGCCACAGGATGAAACTATATTTTGCTTGGACATGATTCTAGGAAATATAAATCAGTTATCAAGTTGTTTTCTTCAGTTGTTGTTTCATTGCCCCAAGTATCATTCTTAATAGAAATTTACACTATTCAGAACACTTTTTTATATTAGTTCCTCTTTTATTGAAATATTTGAGATAACAATTTCAACTGTCTGAATTTCTTTTTCAATTTGTTTTACTTGTTTAATCATTTGCTTTACTCTTTATAACATCTAGGAGATGGGTTTAATTAAATGATAGAAATGTTTTATTTCACATTTTATGATTTAAACTGTTGACCAAAAACAGCAATCATAAGAACTGGATAATTAATTGAATTTTGTAACACTGTATTTTTTGCATTTTGTTGGTTGACATGTCCTTCTCCATGACCTTTAATGTATGATGTAAGTACATATTTTAGAGGTCTGAATTGTTCCAGCTAACAAATTAGATAAGTTTATGTTTTATACTTATCAATTTTACCCTTAAAAGAATATTTAAAATAAAATTTATAAAAATTAAAATATAAGTTGTCATGGAAACTTGTGGAGAAAATGAGATCAGGAGAGGAAGAAGAGATAACTCTGCTGATGTGAGTGATATTTACAAACCCTAAAAAGCAAGGGTGCGTAGATGTGTTGGCAGAAATTTTATGTATTGTATACATTGTAAGCAAGAGGACACACAGTGTAAATTCCTTCATAGACTTCTAAAATTTTTATACATTAAAAAATAGTATAAGAGCAAAATACTAGAATCAAGTAATATTTCACAGAATTTGCTCCCAATGTTAAGAGCTGAGAGTAGTGACACATTTCTCTTTCTCACTTTTCTTTTAATTTATTTTTGTGGGGTGGTGGGAAGAGTTTGAATTGTTTTATTTTAGAATGTGGTTTTTCCTTATGATTTAAGCATATCTTTGATTATTTGCTAGAAGTTCGGCTTTTTACTTTCCTTTTCTTTAGAAGGATTTTATTTTGTTTATTTAACTTACTTGAGAGGCAGAGAGACAGACACTTATACACACACACACACACACACACACAAACATACACAAGGGTGGGGGGAGGCAGAAAGAGAGAGGGCTGAGGGGGGGGGGGAAGAAGGAGGAGGAAGAGCGAGAGCATGAACAAGAGAATATGAGCTTCGATCCCCTTGCTTACTTCCTCAATTGCTGAACAGCTGGGATTGGGCCAGGCTGAAGCCTGGATCTGGAAACTGAAAACCAGTCATAGTCTTGCATGTGGGTGACAGGGATCCAGCTACTTGAGCCATCACCATTGCCTCCCAGGATCTTCATTAGCAGGAAGCTGGATTTAGGAGCTGAAGCTGGGTGTTGAACACCAGTGCTCCAGTATGAGACTTAGGCCTCTTAACCCCTAGGCTAAACACCCACCCCTGTATTTTGCTTTCAAGTAACATTTTTAAAAATAAAAAAAGCAAAATGATAACTTCAGGCAACCACTTTCAAGAAGTTGGCTTTTTGGTGCGGTGTGGATCATTTCTAAGATGTTCTCCTGATCTTTAATATACCATTATTGAGCGTCATAGAATCATCCCGAATCATACATGAATTGAGATAGTGAATCTGTCTGTTTTAATACCTCATTTTAATTTTATTTTATCTGGTACAAAGAAATTATACATAATTATGGGGTACCATGTGATGTTTTGAAATAATGTATTCAATGTTTAAGGATCAAATCATGATAAACATATCTGTTGTTGCAAACATTCGCTATTCACAATAACCAATAAGTTGAAATAACCTAGTTATCAATCAGCTGATAAATAAATGAAGAAAATTTGGCACTCATACAAAATGGAATTCCATTCAGCCACAAAAAAGATAAAATCTACTAATCTGTAACAACGTGGATGGAACTGGAAGTCTTTATGTGTAGTGGAAAGATCTAGCACAGGAGGATAAGTTGCTGTGTGATTTCACTGCTGTGGGATCTACAAAATGTTAATAGCATAAAAATTAAGGGTAGAGTGGTAGTTCCCAGAGAATGGGGAGAATAGGAGAAGGGAAGGATGGGAGAAGGCTGATAAACAAGTTCTAAGATATGGTTAGATAGCAGAAAGATGTTTTGGTGTTCTACTACACAGTAGGATGACTGTGGGTAGTGATAATGTACTGCCTATTTTATTTAAAAAAAGCTAGAAGAAAGATTTTGATGTTTATCTTTATATTTTTAATCTTGAAATATTCACTTTATGAACATTTTAGATCACTGGATGAAATATTACTGATAACACACTCTTCAAAACTGTCAAAATTTAAATTTCATTATGTAGAATTCAAATTCGCAAACATTTAACTTTACCTTTATTGGCCACTCTTTATCCATATTAACACCACAAAATAGAACAGGAAAGTAATGGTCTAAATAACTATTTTCTGACATTGAAATGTAACATTTAATGTAAATATAACAAAGCAGGTACAATTTGAGCCTTATAGTAAGATTAAAGGAAAAAAAAAGTACCAATTTTTATTTTGTAAGCATTACTTCAACTAGAA